GTTTTTTTTTTTTTTTTTTTTCTTTATTCTTCTCGTCTTTAGTTAACTGGCTCGGTAGCAGGCGACAGGCTGAGCACAAACAAAAGCCCCCTGCGGTTTGCTGCGAGGGCTGAGCGGTTGGCAAAAGGAGCCAGGAGGAATGGATACAGGGCAGGGGCAGAAGCGAGATAGTTAGTTGGCGCTGGCAGCGGCTTATCAGGTTCGGCTGGCGATAAAATCCATCACTAACTAGTTATTTATAAGTTGCCTTTCGACTGAGTTCATCCGAGGATGCAGCAAGTCATCTGCGCAGAGTCAGGCGATGCCCCTTTTCTGACCGCTGCGAATGTTTTATATTAGTTGGCGTGTTTACTGCGTCGATTAGGAGCCGGGGAGTCCATGTCTGTCGGTGTTTCTGGTGCCTCTGCGGCTTCACTGCTGCTGCTGTTGGGAGTCACAGCCAGAGTTGGTAGAGAAAGGCACAGGCTGTTCAATTTACTCCCGATAGAAGAGGCAGAAGTGCGAGGCGGAGTTCTATAGTACAAGAGGCGGGATTATATATTCCAAGTTCGTCTGATTTTTTTTATTATCTTCTCTCTAGATATACATATAACCAACACATTCCATGCTTTAAGTCAAGGCCGCCCGAGGGGGGGGCCCATGGACGTTTGTCCTTTGTATATAATACACTGTTGTAGTCGACACGTTATAGATCTCCCCCGAGCATCGTCAATCAGTTAGTTCTATTCTGGACGTCTCATGTCATTGCATGGTTGGCACTATGGGAGCTCATTCAGACGGCGCAAGTTCCTTGAGCAGGGAGAGTCTCGACAGAGACTCCCACCAGAGACCCCCGGGCATGTCATATAATCGTATAGGGGGGAGGTTATATATACTCCCAGTGTAGTCTCTGGAGCCTGCTCTGATGCACCACAAGGGTCGCCTTACGAGACATGGGATAAGAGTTGAGTCTGGACATTTCATTCTGGACCTAGAAGGGGAGTGTCTCATCCAGCAGCGGAGCCGGGATAGGAAAAGTCGGGCTGTTGAATCATCTGAATCTGACCCTGGCGCTGCCGGTAGAGCTGCTGCTGCTGCTGCTGCTGCTGTTGCTGAGGAGTCATTGGACTGCCTATGCCAGTTTGTGGCATTGGTGTCGGGACAGGGGCAGTAGTGGTAGTGGTAGTGGCGGCGGCGGTGCTGGTGGTGCCCCCAGGGGTGGTGGTAGCGGTGAAAAGCTCATTGAGAGACGTGTAGAGCTGGTTGAGCGAGGAGAGATGCGGTGGTGGTGTCATGATAGCGGGAGTCTGGGGCCCGGTGGCACCAGTCTTCTTTGCGCGGTCTGCCACCGTTGCGAGATAGGCGAGGTTTGCCTGAAGCCGGCGCATGCAGTCGACGTATTCCTGCGACGGCTTTCCCGCGGGCGCAACCGCCTTTGCGCTATCGGACCCATTGCTTGACTTTTGGGCGTCCTGGGGTGACGACGGGGAGCCCGTGGTACTGGGCTGGTTTGAAGCAGGCCCGGCCTTGCCGCTAGCCTGTAGGTTGACCACTTCCTGTAATAGAGCCGAGTTGATGTCCAAAAGAATAGTGACACGGGCACGCTCGCGGGCGGCTGCCTGTGGTGAAAGGGTGCTGCTGGGTGTCTGGTAAACGGGTGAGGCCTGAGATGGAGCCTGCATCTGGGCCGGTGCCTGTGATGTGGGACGGTTTGGGGTCGAATACATGGCCTTGGAGGACGGCATAGCCGTCATCATGCCGCCCTGGGCCTGAGGGTCAGCAGAGGGCGAGCGGGTGGATATATCATCCATTACCGGCTGGGGATGCGCGGTCTGTGGTATAGAACTGGGCATGATTGGGTTTGTTGTGAATGGTTGAGTGGTAAAGGGAACTATACAGCGTAGATTAGCCTTTTAGCATAAACCAAAAAATAAAAAATAAAAAAATAAAAAAATAAAAAATAAAAACAAAACAAAACAAGTACCCTGATATGAGGAGAGGTAACGATAGAACAGGGAAGTGTCATTGAGGAGAAAATCACCAAGGATATGAGGCACGTCCTTGATGCTGCACCACACACACACACAAGCCTATCCACCCATCCACACCCACCGCCTGCTGGTCGGACAAGAAGACACAACCACGGCGAGGATCTGCTAGGAACAGCAGGGTTGGAGTGGGCCAGGGCCACCAACCAAGGGCGGACAGCACAAGGCAGACGGAAGATATAATAATGACCATAAAAAAACGGATAGGAGATTCTCTGGGGGGGGCTGGGAAGGTCGAGCTGCCTACATACCGTGAGACATGGGAGTAGCAGAAGCCATCATGGGAGCTACACTGCCAGCAACAAGATGCTGGGGAACGATCTGAGGCTGTTGCGGGAGATGGCCTGGCTGCTGCTGCGGCTGAAGCTGTTGCTGCGGTTGTTGTTGGTGGTGCTGTTGGTGCGGCTGCGGCTGCTGCTGCTGCTGGAGATGCTGCTGCTGCGGTTGAAAGGACGCGGGCGGCTGGGGATAGGCGCTTGGGTTCTGATAATACGGCGGTATATGGTGAGCAGCGCCGGGCAGGGGCTGCTGGTGCTGCTGCTGGGCGGCCTGGAAGTAGGCGACCGACGCGTGGGGGCCGACGACGGACGAGGAGACGGGCAGCTGGTGCGCCTGGAGCTGCTGCTGGTGAAGCTGCTGCTGGACATGCTGCTGCTGCTGCAGAGGGTGGTGGTAGGCCATGGGCGGCTGGTTCATGGCTGGCTGTCGAGGCTCGCGCTGGGCCGGCGAGTCCACGGCAGGCAATAAGGCAAGCTTCGAGGGCGAAGGGCGAGGCCGGCGGGAAAGAGACAGCGGCAGCGGCAGAGTCGGGTCGGTCTTCGCAGTGCGCGTGGAGGAGAGCGTCTCGAGTCAGCGCTGCTGCAGGCTGGGACTTGCTGGACGTTGACTGGGCGGCTGGCGAGGTCGAGGTTTGGCCCCCTGGCTGGCGGTGGACTTTTGGGCGGCTGGCGTATCAGCAGCGCCAGAGCATCGCGGGCGGGCGATCAACGAGAGACGTCGTCCTGCTTCTTCGGGTCTCTTTCTTCCTCTCTTTCTTCCTTGCTGGACTTCCCGTCCGTCTCGCTCGGCCTTTTTGCTTCTTCTGCTTCTGCTTCTTCTTCTTGCTGGCGTTTTTCTTCCTCGTCGTCGTCGTCGCTGAAATTCGACTTTTTTTTTTCCTCCCAGGTCAAGTCACGTGCTTAACACGAGGCACGTGATAACATGACTAAGACAAGCTCTAGATGCGGTTAGATAGTCATGTGTCAATGGCTTATATAAGCAGGGTGAGAGGTCAGGATAAAGTTCGCCCTATTCCCCCTTCGTCCAGCTGCCGTCGTTTTGGGTTTGGCTCGCTCGCCGGCCCACACCTGCCGCTATCAAAGTCTATCGAGCTCGCTCAAGATGCGAGTGAGTATATCAGACTACATAGGCCGTTACAGTGGCATGCTGCAATAGATCTACAAGAAAGAAGGAGAGGAGAACGCTTTGCATTTTCGTTTGATCGCAATCTCGCAGTTGATCTTTTCTTTCAATGTATGGAATGTCTATACCACTCGAGAGTAAATCCGAGTTGCTCTGGCTCTCCTGATGAAAGCATACGAAGAAGTCCGCGCTTCTCCAGGTCCTGGCAGAATGTCCTTTTGGAAGAGATATCCTCCAAGTCGTTTTGGCGGCTTTCACGGCTACAGCCATCCAGTTCTTCACCATTAGTTATTTCGGCTTCGGTCTCTCTGCCGTTGTTTCTTCCAAGGAACGTCTCTGTGCATGCGGCCAAGTCTGCGATCGTGGCATAACCGTTGTGCCAACACTTGTTGATGATCTCGTCAATTAACGGATCATCACCATCTAGCTTCGGAAATTCCATGTTCTGCAATAGCTCCACAACTTTGCGCCCGTGCTCCTTAGGATCCTCAGTAAGACATTGATCATCGTAAACCTCAAAGCCATAGTTTATAAAGTAGTATAACGAGCCTAGGGCAAATTGTTCGGTTCGACAACCTAAGAAACCAGAACCCCCACATGATCCTTGGTCCTGTTCGTTACTATTGAGTATTCTTCCATATGGGGCCATACAGGTTTCAAAATCAGTCCCAAATTCTGCAGTACAATCAAAATCCGAAAGTTTTAATCGGTCGCGATCAATCAAAATATTTTCGGGTCGTAGATCCCCATGGGCGAGATTAAGCGATTCCAGAAAGGCAACGGCCTGGGCGAGGTCGTTCATCCATTCTTTTCGGAGGCGTAGAGGCTCCAGTTTCTCCACTTTAGTAACCACATAAGATTGCGGGTCTTGAGTATGATTATTCTGTATCCTAGAACAGAGGGTGACATCTTATAAAGTGGTTAGTCGGGACAATGATAAGCGCTAATAAGGATTATTATACCTCTCATGTACTCAAGGAAAATGCCGTTATCCGTATAGAAGAAACACTGCACTATAGAAGGGCATGTCGGTCGCTGAGAAAGAATCTCATATATCTTGAGTTCCTTCTGGAATTGCTCTCTTTCAAAGTCGCCGGATTTCGGGATCTTCACCACAATGCGAGGGTGGACCTCGTAGACAAAGGAGATGCCTCCTTTCCAGATCCAGTGCACCTCAGGGAACTGCTTCCGGATACTCATATTAATGATATCATGTAGCAAGTGGGACAAGAATGTGCAGAAACTGAAAAAAAAAAAAAAAAAAAAACCTCGCTGTACGTATAGGGAGGTGAGACAATGACTAGGAAAGGATATCCAGGGAGGCTGGGTTAGTGAGCTTGCTCGCGAAATTGCCCTCTACTTCGGAATGTTACTTGTCGACTTGCCAAGGCTTTTCGAATGAGGCGCAAGGGCCGACGGGAGCAGCGGGGGACCCACCGGCCCGAAGACCAGAGACTGGAGCTTCACTATTATCTCGTCTTCCATTTTAGCTTGTTAATGGGCCAGATTTTGTAGAACAACCTAACTGTATCTTGGTATAAGTTTGTCATTTAAATTTAGAATGCGCCCCTTTCTGGGCCTTTGAAAAAGGGGCGCATTCTAAATTTAAATGACAGAGTGGAGATTTGAAGTCGCTGGTAACTAGTTTAACTGTGCCTGTCCGGGGTGGTTGAGAGAAATACAATTAACCTCCAGCCGCATCCGATAATGCTGAACTCTGAATAGAGATATCTCCGCGGCTGGTGCAAAGGGGTAAGTCTCCTTACCCAAGGTTATGTGGTTTGTAGATCGTTATCCATGCAGAGGGGCGAAGCCAATCTCCCTGGTTGTGATTGATGGCTGAGTCGACATGGCATGCATAACGAGCCGTGAGCGTGGAAGATTAAACCCCGAGCAGGGGTGACTGGATCTAAAAACACTCGTAAATATATCTCTTTGTCCCGATATAATCCCTGCACATAATCTGGGGTGCGGAGAGGGGGTCTTATACTTTCCTGTAATAGGCCACTACCCCTTGACAACCCCGAGTACTGTCTCAACCACATTTTCATCTGTAGTCGGGCATGCTCATCTGCAGGTCTTACCCTTCGAAGTTGGCACAAGCACTCAAGCGAGGCACAATATGATATCCCTTGCTAGTACTTTGTCCGTTGACTGAAATATGAAATATAATGTAGTGTAATGCGTTTCTCTTGGGCAAACATAGCCAACATCTACCGTCAAGTATCCAAAGTATTCAGTACGGGTAGTTCCCCCTTATTTATTTTTTTATTTGATTTTATTCATTTATTCATTTAAATCACTCCTTATCAACCTAGTAGGGTTAAGAAAATATGAGCGGAAACGATGTTGTTTATGGGGATGAAGTAGCACATCATGAACCGGGTCAGGAGAAGAAACCGCTCGTGATTTTGAGCGACTCCGAGAAGGAGGTCGTCGAACTTCAACTGAACGGCCTGCCAACAGCAATCGATGCCCAAAGCCTCTGGTCATACACCACAGACTGGGACAAGACCATCATCATTGTCAGTGTGGCCGCCGCAATTCTCGGTGGTGCTTCGAACCCTTTGCTCACAGTAAGTCGCTACACGCCTGTTAGAAAGTGATAACTTCTAATGAGACTGTAGGTAGTCTATGGATTGGCTGTGGGTTCGTTCGCGGATAGATCCAACGGCGTGACCTCCATTCCGGAATTGTCTGCAGCAGTGGCTAAGGTCTGCCTATATTGGGTTTATCTCGGGATTGCCATGTTCTTCTTCATATATATCACGACAGTTGGATTCTATTACGTTGGTGAACGCATTGTGATGCGCCTACGCTATGCTTATCTCCGGACAATCCTTCGACAAAATATAGCATTTTTCGACACTCTCGGCGCCGGCGACGTCACAACGCGTATCACCTCGGATATGAATCTCATCCAAGAAGGTATCACCAGCAAAGTGTCCATGGGCCTCATCGCAGTAGCAACGTTCTGCTCAGCTTATACCATCACATACATCCAGTACTGGAAGCTTGGCCTTATCATGACATCAACCGTGGTTGTGATGTTGCTCACTGGAACTGCTGGAGGTATTTTGGCCGTCAAAAATTCTAAGTCAAGTATGACCCTATATAATAGTGGTTCTAATCTGGCTGAGGAGAGCATCGGGTCAATAAAGCATGTGACTGCGTTCGGTATCCAGAATGCTCTTGCAGATAAGTATCTCAGCTTTTTAAGGCAGGGAGAAAAACCTGGTATCAAAGCAAGACTGGCTATATCTTTCATGATTTCTTTTATGAATGGCCTGCCTTTCCTCTCTTATGGTCTCTGCTTCTGGCAAAGCGGCAGGTATATTATATCAGGGCATATGGGTCCGGGGGCTGCTGTAACTGCTACAATGGCCATTGTTATTGGAGGCTTCTCAATAGGAAGGGTTGCACCAAGTCTCCAGTCTTTCATGTCTAGCACAGCAAGTGCTAGTATGATCATTCGTTCTATGCAACGCGCATCCCCTGAGGATCCCTTATCGACAGAGGGGGAAAGACCTGAGGGAATAAAGGGTGAAGTCTCCTTTAATGACGTTAGCCTGGTCTACCCGTCCAGACAAGATGTTGCTGTCCTTAAATGTGTCTGCCTAACGATGCCGGCAGGGAAAACAACGGCAATTGTGGGACCAACTGGGTCCGGAAAGAGCAGTATTGTTGGCCTGGTTGAGCGCTTTTATAGACCAACTAGAGGCCATATCACTCTTGATGGACACAATATTCAAGATCTCAACTTACGGTGGCTGCGCAGCCAACTGGCCTATGTAGGCCAAGAGCCAATCCTATTTAATACCACTATTCAGGAGAATATTGGTCATGGATTGGCTTACCTTGACGATGCCGCTCGCTCATCCAGGGATCTCAAAGCTGCCGTTATTGAGGCTGCAAAGGATGCAAACGTACACGATTTCATCATGGCACTGCCTAAAGGCTACGAAACTGTGGTTGGCGAAAAGGGTCTGCAGTTATCTGGAGGGCAACGGCAGCGAATTGCTATTGCACGAGCCTTGATTCGTGATCCGACCGTACTCATACTTGACGAAGCTACTTCCGCCCTCGATAGTCGAGCTGAGAAATTAGTGCAAAAAGCATTGACAAAGGCCGCCAAGGGCAGAACCACTATAGTAATTGCCCATCGACTATCGACTATACGTTCGGCAGACAATATTGTTGTCCTGTCTGCGGGAGAGATTGTAGAGCAGGGGGATCACGATAGTCTGATGGCGAACCAAGGGCTTTATGCGAACCTTGTCAACGGACAACAACTGACAGAAGAGAAGACAGACGAAGATGACGATGCTCTGATTGAAAATGCGAGCGCTTCTTCGTGGTTTGTGGACGAGAAATCCACTGCCAAAGAACTGCCAGAGATTGTTGTAGAGAAGACCGATTCAAAAAAGCTCGACAAACGACTATCCTTCTGGGACCTTCTTCGTTTGATGGATAAGCTAAACCGGCCAGAGCGTATGCTGATTCTTTTGGGCCTTATCGGCTGTGTATTTGCGGGACTAGGAACTCCAGTGTGCGTATTTTCTTGATATCTGCGGGTTTCAACCAACCCTTTATGCTAACGCGAAATGGATAACTTCAGGCAGGCCATTTTCTTTGCAAAGCTCATCGAGGCCGTATCCGTTCCAGCGTCTCAATACAATAAGCTTCGCTCCGAAACCAGCTTCTGGGCTCTGATGTATCTTATGCTTGGCATCGTTGCTATCATATCGTGGTTTGGTCAAGGTGCTTGCTTTGCCTTCTCGTCAGAACGTCTCATCCGCAGAGCGAAGGACACAACTTTCCGCTCCATTCTGCGCCAAAAGGTCTCCTTCTTTGACGAGAGGTCAACAGGAGACTTAACAACAATACTGTCGCAGGACACCACTCATCTAGGTGGGCTGGATGGAGCTGTGCTAGGCTCCATGATAACTTTCACAGTGACCATCATCGGTGGACTTGCGCTCTCTGTTGCAATTGGCTGGAAGCTGGGTCTCGTGTGTGCCGCCTTGATACCCATTACGGTTGGAAGTGGGTATGTCCGATTGATAATTCTTAGTTTGTTTGACCGTAAAGTACGACAGACTCAAGCCGAGTCTGCAGCTTATGCCAATGAAGCTGTGAGAGCAATTCGTACTGTGGCAAGTCTGGGACTTGAGAATGAGGTGCTGCAGCGTTACCGTGCTATCCTGGAGCGTGATGCGGCGGCATCGCTCCGCTCAATCTTGCAAGCTTCGGTGTTGTTCGCCCTATCTCAGTCTCTGCTTATGCCAACGGGAGCTTTGGTTTTCTGGTATAGCAGTACACTCCTGGCAACCGGAGAGTATACGTTAACACAGTGCTTCATCTGCTTTTCTGCACTCGTTACTGGAGCCCAGACAGCTGGTGCCGTATTCAACTTTGCCCCTGATATGAGCAAAGCTATGCAGGCAGGGCGACACCTTCGTAACTTGTTTGAGCGTGTACCCCCGATCGACAGCTATAGTACCGAGGGCCGGTTATTGCCAGCAGAAGCGTGCCGTGGTGCCATCGAAATTCAGGACGTGAGTTATCGTTACCCGCAGCGTCCAGAGCGAGTTGTACTGGAAAATTTCTCTCTCTCCATCAAACCAGGTCAATTCGTTGCACTAGTGGGTCCAAGTGGATGCGGCAAATCAACCGTTCTGTCCCTCCTGGAGCGCTTCTTCGACCCTGAAACTGGACAGATCCAGGTCGATGGATCTAGCGTCACGGGGTTAAATATCTCTCAGTACAGAAGCTGTATTGCGATGGTTGGACAAGAGCCAGTTGTATACTCTGGCACTATCCGCGAAAACTTGGTGTTAGGAGCTGCGGAGGGAGTGACGGACGAAGCTATCGTCCAGGCTTGTAGGGATGCAAACATTTACGAGTTCATCTCATCGCTTCCGTAAGTGAACTTCTCGTTCTTTCCCGTTCTACATACCCAGAACCCGTTCAGTCTAACTTTAGTCTCACACATGTAGGGATGGGTTTGCAACTGTGGTCGGTGCCCAGGGCAGTATGTTAAGCGGAGGCCAAAAACAGCGAGTGGCTATTGCGCGAGCACTCCTCCGCAACCCTAAGATACTGCTGTTAGATGAGGCGACGTCAGCGCTGGATTCGCAGTCAGAACGGATAGTGCAGGAGGCCCTAGATAGAGCAGCCAAGGGTCGTACCACCATCTCGGTTGCCCACAGGCTGAGTACTATCAAGCGAGCCGACCTAATCTGCGTCATGGACCAGGGTAAGCTAGTCGAGAAGGGCACCCATGAGCAGCTGATGGCAAGGAGGGAGATGTATTACGATCTCGTCCAGGCCCAGAATCTTGATACAGTTTCTTGAGCGCGTAAGCCGTAAGTATGGCACTGCCTCAGGTGTATCTGCTCTTGCAGGGTTTTCTTCTGTCTTTTTCTTATAAACGTAGTTAACTTATCCTTTTGCCGTTGAATAATGAGACCTCCCAGCGAGTTTTTGGGCCGACAACATCATCGCCCGGGGTATCAGTGAAACATCGATAACTAGTGTTGATATTCAAACAAGTATACAGTGTACAAGGGGGTGGATATAATATAGTATGCACACTATAGAATATCCACTTCAGCTCGCCTTAATTCCATCAATAATTAATCAATTAATAATTATTTGTTTGTCGTCGTCGTCGTTTGTCTTCTTCTGTTTCTTCGTCTGTCGTGGAAATAAAGCCAAGACCTTAAGTTGGAGCGCTCAGACCAAGTCACGTTAGTATCACGTGATTTAGTATTATTGGAAGGTTCATACCTCGGCCGAGATTTGAGTTTCCTTTCATTTCATTATTAATCATGTCATTTGCCCAATGAAAAGCAGAGAAACTTTTTATGTCCGGTCTGTTTCATCCATTGGCTGATTAAGCAAAATAACAATAAGATCAGCCAATAAGAGCTCACTCTCACTGCCCAACCCTTTCCTCTCTTCAGCATTTTATAGCTCCGGCAAGCGAAACGAGTGACACCAGGACAGGCAGACTTGAAGCAGCGATAGAACTGGATATGAAAGCTGTCAAGGATCCATTTGTTGGCGTCGCATGTTATCTAGCGGACTCCACGTAGTGCGAGTGTAGTTAGTTCCATTCCCTAGTTAAACCCGTGGGGGCGGAATTCCAACGTCTGCATTATTAGGAACTGTTGGATCAGGCTGAACTAGCTGACCAGGGGTATTGTGTTATGCGGCTGGAATTACATATTGTGCTATCCATATAAATATGTCAGTCCCAGCTCCTAGCTAAACCAGCTGGTTGCATCTGTAATCTTTCTACGCACGCAATGACGCTTCAGTTATTTTGCATTGCGTGTCTTCGTGAGCACATCGCTATGCGGACCTTGCTCTAGATAATTAGAGCTACCTACATCCAACTCCCGAGGACCGGAAACACAGAGCACTGGCCAGACGGGAGTTGAGCTGGGAGTTACACCACAGCTACCTAACCTTTCCGAGTATGTTGGAACTTGATACCCGTTATGAACGAGATAGCAATGATCCAACGTCCACATACGCCTACTCCCCCTGCAGTCGCCATGCAGGCAGACATCACGAGAACCAATTCTTTGACGCTTTGCATTCCGAGTAACGGTGAGGTTTGCTCGCTCTACGGGGTACTTTACCCAATCCTAACAGGGACAGGGAGTATGCTTATGGAGGGACTGGCGCCGAGGGAGTGCTCGAGATCAGGTGTCACTGCCACCTAGGTAACCTAACTAACTCCCTAGATGGCCATAATGGCTTGATTATTGCATTTCGCCCAAGACTGTTCCTCAGTCGCCGTAGTCTCCCTTGCAGATTCTCTGCGGGAAGACCGGGTAGCCAACGCATATCCTTCGCACCATGAAGATGTGAACGAAGATGCGAAGACGAAGATGCGAGGACCAAGCATATACGAGCGTTTGGACAAGGCCATGGATCGTCGAATTTTTTCTTTTTTTAGTCTATGCCAACCGACACCGCGAAATCTTCCTCTTCCTGATGGCTGCCGGATGCTGGAAACAAAACTCCGTGAAGATTTCCCCCCTGGCTCAGATCCTTGTCGTGAAGGATGCGCATCAAGTACTCCGTAACTCCCGTGGAGAAGGAGAACTAAGGATCTGACGCAAACAACAACCCGAACCACGGTTCCTGGCTGGAGAAGCCTAAAAACGGATACATTCATCGCTGTCAAACGGCTCTCCTTGACGACAAAGCCCTATTTTGTCTTCTGGGTTGGCCGGCTTAACTAGTTAACTAACTAACTAACTATTATTGATTGGGACGATGGCTTCGATCATGACTCGATAAGCTCTAACTGTCAACCCATACTCTTCATCTCTGCAATGCACTTATTTAGCAAAGTGGCGTTTTTTTCTCAGCTCCCTGTCGCGATGGCACATAGCCCATGTGAGCGCTGACCTGACGGGAGCCCAAAGACCCGTAGCCGACCTATCGACTAGGGTGTCATCGCACCCAGTCCAGGGCGTTGGTCTCCGTTTTCCGCCCCAGAGTGCCCTTTTGGCTTCACTATACTTGGTTCCAGGGCTCGCTTGCAACAGAGTTGCATACAGAGTGGAGGAGGACAAAAGCCTCGATGCTGGCTCCCGGAACCAGCGCCATCCGAGCAACCCCAAGCCAAAGCTGACCTCTCATATCGCGAGGCATCCCCCCTAACACTTTTCCGAGATGGTGCAAGTTCTTGTTTTTCGTGTCAGACGAAACGGACGAGCGAATGAGCTGGCAGCCATTATACAAGCATACAAGCTGGTACATGCGATGACTCCATCAATCTCCAAGAAGGAAACTGGAGGCCATAACTAGCTACTAATAATAATGAAAACCGAGGAGAAAAGCAAACTGCTTGTGCTTACAACGATTCGGGGACAAGCACGGCACAGATCTTTGCGGATTCGCTTTGATTTAGGTTGTTTCACCGACATGACCGCGGGGGATGCGCCATCCGATCCCCTTTTAAATTCGGACTATGGTGTTATTAGTTATTGACCTCTGTGCATGTTCAGCGTTAACCCAACTTGTCTAAGTGGCACATCTCCGTTTAGCTATACGATGTAGCTATCCGGAGGACCGTCCATCTATATATTACATTATTATATAAAAGCATGTCTCCTCTCCCCCGAGGCCGACCACTTTCATCAGTTTGCAGTGATCATCCGTACGTACGACTACGCAACCCCTCCCCTTTCTTATCGCAACGGAATCATCAGTTAACCAACCAACTGGCTAGCTAGTTGATTGTTCATCATGTTGGAAGCGCTTATCCAGTCCGGGAGTGCCTACCGGGTCGACCTGGCTCTCTCCTTCGTCGTCCTGCTCGTCGCTTCGTACATTGCTCGACTCGTCAGCCATCGCCAAAGATATGCGAAGTTCCCCTTGCACATTGACAAGTCCAACCCGAAGCAGATGCTATTGTCTGGCTTTGCCAAGGTGAGTTGCGGCAAGAATTATACTTTCTCCTTGATATTGTTCGATGCTTTCGTTGTTTTCTTCATTGTGCCTTGCTAGTTAGCTAGCTTTGTCTAACTAGAGCTGACGGTTGATGTACCTCCAAGTATAAAAACGCATTCCACATCAACACTGCCATTGGCAAGGATATCATCCTTTCAGCAGACTATGCCAACGAACTAAAGAGCGACCCTCATCTCGATTTTGCCAAAGCTATTCTTCCGGTAGCTAGCCACTCTCCTACTCCCCTGAACTTCTCCTTGGTGGTCTCTGATTGGTTACCGCTAACTCATTGTTGAGACTCTCCTTACCCATCTCTCAACATTCCACCACATCGAAGAGGCTGGTAAGAACCAGGTTTTGACCGAGACCATTCGAAGCAAACTTTCACGGCTGCCTGGTAAGGATATAAGATACCCAACCTACAGATGAATCATGTTTTGCTCTTTACTGACCATAGATAATATAGTACATCTCAAGCAAGCTGTGTCCAGAGAGGCAACAGAAACTATTCGTGATAAGTTTACTGACAATGAAGGTACTCGAATAAAAGCGAATTACCCCTTTTCCTGGAAAAACTTCTTTGACAGAAAGCTAACATTGTTGTGGTCAGAATGGCATGAAATTCCCATCAAAGAAACCATTGTGAAGATTGTGGCCCGTATGTCGTCCAGGGTTTTCCTTGGCGAGGAACTTTGCCGCAATGAAGAATGGCTGAGGATTACGGCTGAGTATACGATCAACTTGTTCATTGCCGTCAACGAGCTTATGACCTGGCCTACATACGTCCGTCCTATCGTACAGTGGTTCCTCCCGCCATGTCAACGCCTGCGCCAACAGGTTGCAGATGCCCGACGACTCATCCAACCAGTTATTGATGCACGACATGCGGAAAACGACGAGCTTCGACGCCAAGGCAAGCCCCTCAAACAGCATGAGGATGCCATTGCGTGGCTTGATGAGAAATCTGGGGGTCGGTCATTCGATGCTGCGATCGCACAGCTCAGTCTGTCCTTTGTATCGATCCATACGACCACCGACCTACGCACTCAAGCACTCTACGATATCTGTGCCAACCCGTAACTCATTCAGCCTCTCAGGGAAGAGATAACCAGCATTCTTGGAAGTCGTGAGTTGGATACTACCGCCCTGTACCAGATGAAACTTTTGGATAGTGTTATCAAGGAGAGTCAAAGAATTAAGCCCGCCGGTCTTCGTAAGTCAACTCCCTTTCTGCGCTTGCTTTTCTTAACATATCCCATATCCCTAACGCAGCTCCCTCAGTTTCAATGAAGCGATATGTAAAGGAAAGTATCACTCTTTCAGACGGCCTAGTTGTCCCCAAGGGAACAAGCATATCTATATCCAGCCATGTTCATTGGGATGAATCCGTGTACCCGGAACCCAACAAGTTTGATGGATATCGCTTCCTCAAGATGAAAGGAGACCGCGAGAAAGATCGAATGGCCAACCTAGTTGCCACCAGCCCTGAGCATCTTGGATTTGGACACGGTGTCCATGCTTGCCCCGGCCGATTCTTCGCCGCAGACGAAATCAAGATTCTCCTCTGCCACATTCTGCTCAAGTACGACTTCAGGCTAACTGAAAAGAGCAATACCACACCTTACATGATGCCCGGTGGAGCCTATATGGCAAACAGCACACAGATTGAGATCAGGCGAAGAAAAGAGGAAATCGCTCTATGACATTGGTGATGGGAAGATGTTGAAGTGAGTTGTAGTTATTTAGTAACGTTATTATTGTTTGCTTCGAACTCAGCCCATAAGCGACTGCATTTCACTATACCCCCGCTCTTCGAAGCAACTGGCAGGCCCAAATTGTTTGCTGCAGGTCGACCGGTTTGAGCATGCTTGATTAAGTTGCACTGGGAAAACTTAGTCCTCTTGCCTCAAACAATTTCATCAAAGTTGAAAACCGCGCCACAGTGGTGGTAAAGTTCACCGATTCATGAATTTTAGGTTTTTGCTACCTATGTCATTGAACAAGATACGACTATGAAATTTGTTTCGTTTCATTGATGCGCAGTCTGGTTGAGTGTCCATATATGAATTCTCTCTTGGGTGAGCGAGCAAGAAGACTAATTCCTAGGGGTGTCTGAAGTATTCAACGATGAAACATACAAGCATGGTATGCCAGCTGGTAGAAGGGCGTGAACAGTCTACCTTTGGTGTTCTGCTTTTAGTTACCAGTCGTGTCGGGGTCATGAATACCCAGTAACACTGCAATGAAAATTATACCATCATTTCAAGCTTTCGTGATGTTCTAGTGCCATTGTGAAACTGAATTCAAAAATTTACTATCAAATTTACCATCCAGCCAAAGGTGAGCTGTCTCGTATTAGAGACTGAGGTATTAGCTATATTTGTATCAAGGTCGAAATCAGCATAGCTAATTGGGGTACTCTTGGCGAAAAGGCAGGCGGGGTTACTCGTAGCTACATCTTTGGTATCGTTAACTAGTTATATAAGATAAATTTTCTTTGACTTAATTATAGCTGAAAGTGTAGGAAAATACGGTTAACCATGCACCTTGGGGGCCATAAAACCGTAACATACACCTAGCTGCACCAAATCTCTGCCACCGGGCAGAGGGAGTAACCATCTTGGCTTGAGCCCACTTATGACCCCGCGATATAACTATGGGCCTGTATTTATCCATTATTAGTTATGCATCCGACGAGTCCGAAGTCCTCGCTGAAAGGGCGAGAAGCCCTTCTTTTAAAGCTTAAAAGAAGAACTTGTCTTTAACTACGGAGTAACTTATCTGGTCTTGGCGATCTTATCTGATCTGCATCGAAGAATGGAAGCGCCTGGGCGTGGATCCCATCACTCCGAGCAGGCAAACTGTTAACGAGTTCATTAGCCTATGAGAGAAGTAACAGGGAGGAAAAAGAAAGCCACGGATGGCGAGCCAGGCCAGGCCAGCCCAGTTGCCAACACAGCTAAACAGAGTATCTTGATTAACTATTGGTTTGATGCATGGATTTCCTTCCCAACCCCCGAAGGTCTATGAAAAAAAAAATATTCACCGTATCCTTGCCCCGCCGTTCATCCATCTTATCTGATCGGCCAACAGGAGCTTCTATCGTCTCTGAATGACGCGATCGCGGGGTAGCTATGGACGAAGACCGAGTTGAGGATATGCACCACCAGAGAGACGATTTGCAGAAACCGAGACGACTAAAATTCGCGATAGGAAGAGCGGTATTTGGTCTGTTCACGCTTGAGACTCTTGCGGTCTGCAAGGAAATTTGAAGGAGGAAAAGGCTGGCGAACAGTGGCGAAAACGGGTACATGCATACGGAGTATCGAGACCATTAATCGTCGTTTTTCTGCCTATCATACCAATGGCGTTTGTCACCAGCTGTCCCTGGAAGATCTCAGCCGGCAAGCAAGGGCTAAAATAAAGGCTGTTCGATAGGCGGCACGCCAGCGGATACGCACCGTTTACATTGCATCCCTGGACAGGGGCTGTAACAGGAGTCGAGCAGGGTCTGTAGCCCTGCTGCCGCCCTCGCCCTCACGCTCCCCCACGCAGCAGAGACACCGACCGGCGACAGCGACAGCGACCACGACCACGGCCACGAGGCAGACGCAGCCCATGATGGAGCCTGCCGTGACCAACATTCATGAATATCAAACTCGCCAAACTCGCCAGCCGCCCTTCTCTTCAACCACCCGCGACCGAATACGAAACATGACTAAGCAACATGACTAAGCACCCCAAAGAGGAAGTTCTTTACTTCAACTTCGCGCGTCGAGCAAACGACGACGACGACAACTTCAACTTCAACTTCAATTTCATCTGCAGCGCAGCACGCGAGAGAGACAGCGCAGACGAGGTTCCCCCCCCCCCCCCCCCCGAGAGCGCACAAGCGAGTAAGTAGTTAGGCTGGCAGAGGCGGGCATACCGACGCCCTCGCGCAAGGCTGGCTGGAAGTACATCTCACGTGACATATCTTTTCTCCAGTTCGCCAGCGAGGTTGGTGGCGAGACCGGAAGCGCAGAAGCGAATAATCGTCCCGAGCCGATCGAGGGAGAAGCCTTGGGAGTTCGAGGTCAAAAAAAAAGAAGGAAAAGCATAAAAGGGGACGACGGAAGATAGCGACACTAGCGGCCATGACCTTTGGTGGTGCATCCCCAAACAGAGACGAATACGAGACCGCCTAGGGTCCATCTCTCTCGGTCTCGCTCAGTCAGCAGGGCCAGTCCAACCCTTCCAGCGTCCCATCGGTCTCTTGCTCTCAAAGAAGAGGCGCAAAGTCAACTCGAAGCTGTTTGTTGGTCATGGACAGCACTGATCATACGATTTCGCGCATGGAACCACGCCGTAGATGATGGGGAAGCCATCGCAGCAGTGAGTCCGCCCGTGAACGAAGCCTTGCCTTGCCTGTTTCGCTGCACCTCTCGTTTTTTTTTATCAAACTGACACATCGAGTGATATGCAATGCAGCTTGCTTCCAGCGTTTCCTGCAACCGACGCTGAGCCTTCAGACGACGCTCTCGACGGCGTTAATGCTGGTGGTGTTAAGAAGCTGAAGAAGACGCCGGCAAAGCGTCGAGCGCTCAGCTGCTTGCCATGTCGTAGGCACAAGCTGAAGTGCAACCGCCATGTCCCGTGCCACTCGTGTATCCGCTACCGGAGAGAAGAGCAATGTCGTCTCAATCCGCCGCCATCCTCTGTCATGAGAGGTGGTGTCCCTCTACATTCACAAAGCCATATTCCGCCAGACCATACACCCGTAACCGCGCATGCGCCCGCGCCCGCGCCTGTACCTGCATCCCTCCCTTTCCAACCGCTCCCTCCCCAAGTAACAGCCGCCGCACCCTTGCAAAGCAAACCACAACCACCGTACATGCTCAACTCCCGCGAAACAGACCGCACAGAAACCATCTTATCGAGAAGCGCCCGGAATGCTTTATTGGAGACTCCGCTGGCTCAGAGCTTAGCCAGCCTGCCGCAAAATATACTTGGAGTCTCAACGCTCCCTCCCTTTATACCACTCCTGCTGGCCGAACAATCTCAACGGCCTGTGGATGAAAATGAAGTCACCACCTTTTGGCGCGCACAGCTGGTCTCTATGCTTCCATTGCGGCACCAATGCGACCTGATGGTCAATTACTATATCCACGAGTTAAACTATGTTTATCACTCTGTACACGCTCCATCATTTCGGGAAGACTACGCTGCATTTTGGAATAAGGACGTCAAAGACGTCGATATAATCTGGCTATCTTTCCTATACGCTATCCTTTCCGCTAGTGCCGTGTTTATCCCGTTCCCTGATGTCAAAGCTGTCGGGCTGGACCCCGATACAATACGCAAAAAGGCTCACCTGTGGCATTGGGCCTCTAGACAGGCACTAAGTGCCGGCCACTATGAATCACGGCCTTGTTTAACACAACTAGAAACATTCCTTGTGACACAGTTATACTGGCTTTCTACCAAGAACATCGAGGCTATGAATTCGTACGTTGTCAACAACACCACCGACCCCACGTTCCATTCACTAATACCATATTACTATTATAGAGCACTCGGCCAGGCAGTCCGGAATGGACAAGCGCTAAACTTGGATAGGGATGTTTCGGGGTATAGCCCTCTAGAAACAGAAAAGCGACGGCGTATCTGGTGGGAGCTGTTCTGCTGCGATACGTATGTGAATTCCTACATATTATCTGATGCCTGAATGAGAACTAACAGTAACAGTTTCCAATCAATATGCATGAGCCGAACACCGCTAATTCATTGTCCCGCCCCCAAAATCCCATTACCCGCAAACTGCAATGATGAAGACATCACCGACTCCTTTACCGAGGGCCGACCGATTGACGAGCCCACAGAAACCAGCGCTAGCATTCTCCGAGCGGAAGTATTCTTGATCATGCGCAAACTCTTCGATAGTGGTTTTGAATACCTTTCTTCCTACGAGTACGTGCGATCAGTTGATACAGAATTAGCGAATCTCACCCGCAACTTCCCGTGGTACTTCCAGCTCGACGAGAATGGAGAATGTGCAAACCTCCCTGAGCACCAAGACTACATACTGTGGCAATTTCACTTGCTCCATAGTTGCATTTGCATGCAGCGCATACGCATGAACCGCCCCTTCATCCACACACGCATAGGCGACTCGTGGGCCGTCTGTGCCAAAGCTGCTAATGAAGTTCTGGCCGTTTACCAAAGCATGCGTAACCCAGATGTGGAGGAGTTTCGCAAATCGCATAAGCTATTCGTGCAGTCATACCAAATATTTTCCGCTGCTGTGGCACTGGCGGGATTTTTGCTTGTTGAACGTTCCTTTCCGGCAGATAACATCCGTCCTCTCATTGAAATGGTGATATCGGACTTAGAACTATGCACAGCCGACGCTACGATTGCTGTAAACGGAAGAAATACCCTGATCAAGATGTTGGATATGTATGACCGTCGCCAGCAGAGGGAGCCTGTTGAACCAGAGTCTCTGGTACCAGAAATATCGGTAGTGTTTGGCGGCGAGCAAACTACACGGAAATACCTGAAACGATGCGAAATCGGCTACGTTCTCAATGAAGATGGACACGCTACCCCTAGCTCAGCTAATCCTAGGGCCAGTGTAACTACCCCCAGCGCGAACACATACGGCACCAACACTCCAACATCCTACACCTATAACCCAACCAGCCAAGGTAATCAACCAACAGCAGAATTAAGTGATGTCCCTCAGGCACCTCACTATGCAGCTCCCAACCCATCGTTCTCCGATTTTGATCCCTCAAGAGTCCAACCAAAAGCCTATATTCCACATCCTACGACAACCAATTTAAGCCTGGCAAGCACCCACACTGCTCAGCCTCTCACGAACCCCGATATTAACCAAGCTCTACCGACCACCAGCATCAACCCTAACGGAGATCTGGAACTACTCAATTGCTTCTATAGCAACCCAATCCCTCTCGACATGAGCTTTGATGGGCCCTGGGACTTCTTACTCACTGATTTACCATACCAAACCTGAAAATTTGGTGTTTATATTTTCTTGATCTGGCCGTCGGCTCGCTTTACTATACCCCTTATATCTTGATATTCCCCCCCTTCATTTGTATCCAGGATTAGGATCATGGGAGGCGCTTGAGTGTGCATATTTTGTCTTATTCCATTCCATTCAATTTTGGAACATGGTTATATATATTTGGTGTCAACTGTCTTTATTTCTTTGGTTGGTTGTTTCTTTTTGTATGAACATACATATAAAGTGGTTGGATGGGTTTTCCTTATGAAACTCTGGCCTGTGTGAGTTGGGAGAGGTCCTTCAGGCAGTTATGAAGACCAATGTTCAGAAGCCAGGCTTGGTTGCTTTCTTCTCTCCTTTTTCCCCTGTTTGCATTCATTTACGGGCCCGGCAAGGTAGATATGTGAGGCCGGATATTTGATATATCTCCAGAAATCCAATCTTCTGCCTCGGAGGAAAGCATGCTTAAAGTCAATCCCGTCGTAATATCGCAGTGTCTTCTTTCATCCGGGTTAAATATATGCTTGTTAAGCATGATCTGGAGGTTGCCCCATTCCCAACTCCAGGCTTTATATGATTTCGGACGGGAGGGTTGTAGCAGTGCGGAATATCCAAGGAGGTAACAGGGATCTTTTTTTCCGCTCAATGTCTATCGGTCTACTTCGAGGCATTCTTCCGCGCTTTCATTTCCGCGATCCATTTCCCTGCCATTTTGGTAGGTACAACATTAATCCGCACCAGACCATCAACGACCTCTACCTTCCCGCCGCCTAAGATCGCTAGTAGCGAAACTTTCTTTCCAGGTTTGATCATTCCGCCGGCGGCAGTCTCCATGTAACAGTCCACGGAGCCGATAGTATATTCGCTGTTTTTATCCCAGGGTAGAGGGAAGATGTACTCGAGGTGCTGTGCGATGGTGTCTGTTTCGGCAAATTCCTTGATGAAGTCCGACTGTGCATGCATGGGGTAGAGTAAAACGCAGGGGAACACTAGAGTGCTCTCTGGGGATAAGGGGTCAGGGGAGAGTTTCATGATTGCGTCTTCCATGTCTGGCGGCTGCGCGGTTTCTCGGACGGAAATCTCGCGTGCTGCCAGCGCCGTGCGGAGCGTGATTCGGCTCTTCTCTGCTCGCTGTTGTTCCTCCCTTTTCCGCGCCGCGATCTTATCTAATTCCGCCTTTCTCGCTGCTATCCTCTTCGAAAGAGCTTGGAGGGGCTGGTTCGTCTTATCATGGTGGAGGCCTCTTACACACGCATCTTCCGCTTCCAAAACCTTGTCAAGGGCAAGGAGGGCAGCAGCGGAACGGTAGAATGCTTTGATATTCTTCGGGTTGAGCTTCAAGGTAGACGCACAGTCTAACGTGGTAGATCTATAGTTTTCTGTTTCTTATCGTCAGTCGCGAGCCATCTTGTTAACTAGTTATCGGGAATCGACTCGTGCAGCCGTACTTAGCTCCAAGTTGCATAATGCTCTATTGATGAAGCAGGCCTCCTCGATTTCTCGCAGCCGTCGTGCTTCTTCTTTGGGGTCCTCAGGCTCCTCCCAACTATTGTCTTTTATGGTCAAGATGGATATCCCCTTGGTATAGCACTCCTTTGCATCTTTCCACCGCTTCACCTTCGCAAAATCATTTCCATTTTCGCGGAATCGTTGCGCGTTATCTGCTCGTGTGCCTTCGTTCTGAAGTGCTCGGATGGCATCTAGCTGTGGGTTTTCGCCTTCTGTTAATCAACCCGGGTCAGTCAGAACTTGAATACTGCTTGGCTCGACATGTTTTCCTGCTTTTGATGAGTTACTGACCAGCCTGCAGTGCCTTGTCAACGTCTGTCATGAACAGCGGGGTCTGGTTCATGAGCTCTATTATCTCGTCTGCAGTATGCGACTTGACAGACTCCATCGCCGGTGGCATGGCCGGAAGGGTCTCGCTCCCCTTGGGCAAAGCATCTTTCTTAATCCCAAAGGGAGTTTCGCCTGATGGGAGGAAGGATGGCTCTTTCGCGGCGGGCGGCGGGGTGAAGAGAGGCGCCTTGTTGAGATCTAGGGACTCATCAAAATCGTCCGGAAGCTCTTCTATGCGGCCCATCGTTGTTTGTCTTCTTGTCTGCCCTATATAACTCTTTGTTATACCTCCCCTGACAGCCGCGCCTTATCAAACGACTGCGCTGTTGAAGTTGGCGTCTTTGATGATGGGATGAATTTACTGTCGCCTTTTTTTGCCTTCTTTTTTTTGCTTGTCTTTTTTTTTTTTCTTCTTCTTCTTTGAGCCGCAAAAGCAAACAAGACAAACACTTCTTATCAGATGGATTACGTTATCATTTGATCTGATACGACGAAGTTTAAATCATTACATAATAAATACTTATATTATGTAATCATGTTGTTTTTGTTGGAGGAGGGAAGTAAAAAGGCATAAAGACGGGATTGTCTATTTGGAAACAAGGGGGCTGCCCGGCTGGGAGATAGGCGCTGGCTTGTTGCAAGTGAAACTAGACAAAGGGTTGATGGCTTGGCTGCGCAAGATATAAACAGCCCATGGCTTCTCCTAGATCACAGGAATAATCCACCTCCCATGCCGCGTGTCTGTCTACTGAATAAGTTAATCAAGTAGTCGACTTACCGTCTTTACCTGACATTAGCCACGATGTTTGAGAAATACCAGCCTCCTCGCAGCTACGGCAGCAGCGGCGGTGCCCTGAGCCTCACCGGGCTGGAGAGCATGTCCGCGGCCGAAAAGACAGCGCGTATCATGGCTGTGGCGAACGACATGGCAGCGTCGATAATATATATCGCCAAACAAGCCGAAGCCGGCAACCTAACCAACCGCCAGATCATCCCGATCTATAACTTCATCGACAGCATCCTGGGCCTCGAGCGCAGCCAGACGAAGAGCCTGATGAGGGAGCTGGATAAGCAAGGGTCGCGAATCGCGTTGATGGAGAAACAACACAGCAGGGACATCGAGGAGCTGACCAAGTGCGCAATGGAGACAATCACGCAGATGAAGGTGAGGATCGCGCAGCTAGAGAAGAACAGCACCGTATAAACTGGTCAGCTATGTTAGCTGGTCGACGGCTCTGTTCTGTTTGCGCTTCAAGGGCTGGATGGGTGGACTGAAGGCGTGTCACATGACACCGAGAATAGGTGGGCGTGAAGCAGTTGAGCTTTTGCCTCCCGCGACAGAAAAAAAAAAGGGCAGAGGGATGAAAGTCAATAGTAGTAGAAGAGATGGAAGCAGAAGGAAGAGGAAGAACTCGTCGGCGACAAGGAAACGCTGCTGGGCGGCGCGCAGGAAGTTCGTCGACAGCTGGGAATTGCAAGACGCTGGTTGGCGCGGCGAGGACGGGGCGAAGAGTTTTACCTCGGCATCTCGAGCGGCCGGCGGCCCCAGAAGGAAAAACGCAGCAGAGGGAGGCAGAGGCAGAGACGGTGGAACCAGGTCGAAATAATATTATTCCAGTCAACCCCGTAGAAGCCATAGGTTTACCCGTAGAGCCCATGCCATGTGAATCTTGTCTGTCCGGGGCGTATAAATAATAATCGGAAGGGCCTTTTTCCACCTGTGATAACCAGATATCTTTCCTCTGTTTCTGCTGTGTCTGTTTCTGACCAGCATTCATCATTCATCCAGCGCTCTTGTGCCTCGATATTCCATACGGCCGACAGTATGAGCAGTAAGGGAGACTTCGCCGCCGTCAGGCGTGATATCGCTGCCCAGATGAAGCAGCCTGGGTACGATGATGGAAGCGCAGGCCCTGTCTTCGTCCGGCTCGCATGGTAAGTCCGTTGTATCTCCTTTTTTGGATCGCTCCAGTCCTGAATCGACTGCAGACTGACATCTTCCCAGGCATTCTGCAGGTACATATGACATTGAGAGCGACACGGGAGGCTCGAACGGCGCTGGCATGCGCTACGAGGCAGAGGGAGGAGACCCAGCCAACGCCGGACTGCAGCATGGCCGCGCATTTCTCGAGCCCATCAAGGCCAAACACCCCTGGATCACATACTCCGACCTCTGGACGCTCGCCGGCGTCGTTGCCATCAAGGAGATGGGCGGCCCCGAGATAAGCTGGCTGCCCGGCCGGACAGACTTCGTGGACGACTCCAAGGTGCCTCCTCGCGGCCGTCTTCCCGATGCCACCAAGGGCAGCGACCATATCCGACACATCTTCTACCGCATGGGCTTCAACGACCAGGAGATCGTGGCTCTCTCCGGCGCCCACAACCTGGGTCGCACGCACATGGACCGCAGCGGCTTCGAGGGGCCCTGGGTCAACAACCCAACCCGGTTCTCAAACCAGTACTTCCGGCTGCTCAAGAAGCTCGAGTGGAAGCCTCGCACGCTCTCGAACGGGACGAAGCAGTTCAACTACGTCGACGAGGACGTGCCTGAGGAGGAGCGCGAGGAGCCGCTCATGATGCTGCCGACGGACATGGCCCTGCTCTCGGACCCCGAGTTCGCGATGTGGGTGGACAAGTACGCCGAGGACAAGGAGCTCTTCTTCGACCACTTCTCCAAGGCCTTCCACAAGCTGATGGAGCTGGGCATCAAGCGCAACGCGCAGGGCGAGGTCATCAACACCGACAACGTCCGCGGCGGATACATCTCTGCGCCCAAGAAGAGCGACCGGCCAACCGCGCCAGACCAGGCTCCCAGGGCTCATCTGTAGGGGTCCTTTCTTCTCTTAGTCTCTTTCATAGTCTTCGCTGTTGGTTTCCCGGAGTTCATGTTTTGTTCATTTAGAGGAAGGTTGAGTAGAGAAAATTCGACAGCTAGAGCGGTAGAAGTTGGACTTGGTCAACATGTATATAGAGCAACTAGTAATGGAAAAGCCCCTGCAACCTCCCAGCCAGTCTTATACAACCTATATATGTGATTCCAGAATATAAAGAAGAAGAAGAAGAAGAAGAAGAAGAAGAAGAATACTTGGACACGGGATGCAAAGTTGGCCGCCAAGTTCGTATCACGACCAGATGCATGTGAATCGGTAACGTTTGAGATCTATCTACTTCGTACTATAGTTATGTAGTTGCATGCTCAATGACTATCTAAAAAGTAATACCATCTGCTCCCTAGTGGCCGATAACTTATGCTTCAGCTACTCTCCAGCTATTGCTCTAGGCTGTGACGTGACACTATCTACTCAGTTACCGTTCTTGTTCGGACTCGTCTCTCTTCCTCTTCAGACTGTTGCTTCTGGCCACACCAGCCCCTGTCGAGGGTGTCGAAGTATCTTCCGCTGCAGACGGCTCACCCGCACTCGTACTCGCGCCGTTGATACCCCACTGGGCCATCCATTCGTCATCTGCTAAGGTAGTATCCAGGTTTGATGCTGTTCGTTGCTCTAGTTCGATACCGTCGACCTGCCCAAGGAGGTCAAAGAAGTTGTCAGGAGGCGGCAGTGGTGGCATAGCTGAATCTGCAAACCCAAGCTCTAGGTTAGAAGAATACAGGTTATCGTTGTTCTCCATGAAATCGGTAAACGATTGGTTAGCTGTCTCGAGATCTTCCTGAGTGAGCCCTTCTAAAGAGGCCGGTACAGTGCCCCCGTTCCCCCCTTCTATCACCTGTACTTCCGCAGGTACCGCTGGCTGCAGGCCGGCCTCATCAACTGGATTTGTCCGGTTGAGCAGTAACTGCTGGGGGTCTACTGTGAGCAAATGAAGTGATTCTTGTGGGCTAGAAGCAGCCGCGAGGTTTCCAGACACTGCTGGATCCTCTGGAGGGGGAGTGTCAAGAATGACAATCGGGCTGGGGATTTCCTGTTTGACACTTGTTCGATCGTTGCTTTCTGGTGCTGGACTAGGTGCATTGTTCGTCGGATGCCTAGTGTTGGCTACAGTACCAAGCCTATTGACCACTGGGTATGGATCACGAGCGGTTTCATGTATACTAGCTTCGTAGCGTCCAGCTGCCCCTGAACTTGATCCATGTCCATTTGGAATATCCTGGGCAACAGAAGCATTAAATGCGGGTATCATTGCATTATGAATATCGGGTATCGATCGGTGCCCGTTAGCCTGGTTATTCCCAGTTAGAGCAGCACTATTCCTATAGTGTGGATTTGAAGATGGCATTGTAGATGGGCCAGGGATTGGTATAACAGCTGATCTTATAAAATCATTGGTTGGCAGGCTACCAGCTAATACGGGCGATGGAGTACCGTTTGGACAGCCCGGGGTATGGAGGTTGATAGATGCCCTAGCTGTAGGGCCAGAAGTGGGGAGTTGATACTGTGTTGCCTGAAGTGGACCTTCGCTGTTAGCGTTGAAGGAGCTAGCATAGGTATATCCGACTGGATTGGCTTCAATTTGACCTCTTGTCTTTGGCTGGCTGGAAGCTTTGGCTAATCTTCGGGCCGTAGAGACGAGAATCTTCTTCCCCTCCGATTTTTCTGTTCCCATTGCATGTGCTTGTGTTGCAATCCGCTTCTCCTTCAAACGGGAAGACGTCCTACTACCGGGGGAGTCGCCGTTGCTCTTTTGTTGATGAATAGAACTTGTAGTTCCGTTACTAGGACATCCCAGACGAGGATTAGGGGCCTGAGATGACCGTACTACCATCGATTGAGGAGATGATTGTTCACTTGGTGGGTGTATGATCCTCTCGAAGAAGAGAAGTACCGGATAGCCATTAATCCACCATGAATTCGGCGCAATCTCATACTGTTCTTGCGGCTTGATACCCCCTGGAACCATTCCCGATATTTGGCTTGCATCGTAAATCTGCGTTAACGGACTACCATTAGATCCTCGGTTTTTGTCAATCCATCGCACTCTATAGTGTATCATGCCACGGTTGTGAGTCCTGAATATGGCTCCAATGAGTGTGTATTGCTCGTTTACCACCTCACCATCGGTCTTGGCCAGCCGTACTGTTATTGCAGGAGCACAAAAGTTGAGGATTCTTATTTGCTCATGAGTCTGCATAACAATGCGAAGAGGGCTGGATTCAAATGTCCGGGAGCATCTTATTGAACATGACCCACCACATTGTGTGCAACTAACACTCGTACTGTCCTGGAAGACCCGCTGCAGAAGAACGGATATGTCCACACCGTTATCGTCATTCGTTTGATAAGCTATATTGGCAACACTTTCCTGATATGGAACACTGTTTACCGGTCCACCATGGTGACGGCAGGGCTGATAATGGTTAGTATAACGGAGCTGAAACTGGGAGAAAGACTTGGTGAGAGCTGTCCAGACATTGGCTGCGTCCATCACCGATCTATCTACCGAGTGAGGATTTAGTTGGAAATGCTGGGTGTAGACATGCCACAGCCTCTCTTTCACCGTTGAGACGGCCTCATCTGATAACTGGCTGTTTAAGCAGTCGCTCATGGCACTTATAAATGCCTTTTCGGGTGGACTTAGGACTATCAGTCGTTCACGGCGGGCTCTCTTATCGATTGTGGTGGATCCGGCGTTGGTCAACAGCCCTGCAACAATAACGCAGTCGAATATATCCGAACTCCCATCATAAGACAAAGGGCCACGGCACCTAAAGGGGTAAAGCTCTCCATCCGAATCAAAGGAGAGCTGGGTTTGGTCCTCAGATATCCTTAGTCTCAGGTATGATAGGGTTGTTGCGCCTATGATTGGGCCGGTTACGGAAGGCCTGCTGTAGTGAAGCTGTGCCAGCGGAGCTTGCCTAGGGCAATGGCTGTCCAAAAGACCGTAGGCGCTTTGCGAAGTGCCCTGTCGGGGTGGGCTGTTTGCTTGAGTTGTAGTACGAGGTTTCACGTTATCCGCACGGCCAGGATTGGACAGTAGATATCTTTGGCGATAGGCTTCATCCCATTGATTTCCTGTTTGTGCAGAATGAGGAAAACCGGTTGGGAAACCATGCTCTGAGCTCAGTCCTAATCTGGTTGGAACTTGGGGCATCATATGGTGTGGAGCTGTCATATAGCTCGGTTGAGATTGGAAGCTTGTTACGCCTTGATGTCCACGGGGAAAGGAACCATCTCGAGCGGGAGCGGGCCATTGAGGATTGGGCAATTGGGGCGTTACGGGTAGAAGTGCAAATTCCCAGTTCGGATCTCCCCTAGGCATCCTTCTACTAAACAATGGCGGGTTGTATGATGGCCGTAACAGTCTGGGGCCTGCATCACAGTCTCGGCTAATAAAATGATGCCAATCAGCGCGATGCCTGGGGTCCTGGTTGTAAGAAATCCGTTTTAGTATCTGGAGAAGATCTTCCTTGGTTCTCCGTGGTATATGCGGCTTTCCAGGCTTCCCAGGCTTCGTTTTCTTGTCTTTTCCGTCCTCTTTCTCTTTGTTTTCTATCCATTTGGTAAGGGAGAATCCCCATGTATGATGGTTTACTAGCTTCTTGAGTGTATCGATATCGAGAGCCCGGTTACGTAAATGCGTGGTATCGGGGAAGCGGTATAGTTCATAGCCTGGGGGTGGAACAGCAAGTCGTTCAAAATCATAATCAGGGAAGTGTTCGTTTACTTCCGGATAATCAGCATTAGGAGAAACTGGCCTAGCCATAACGTCAGATATTTAGTAAAAAATACTGAAGATCGAACGTACGCTAGAGGCGAATATCACCTATGTCGCAACGATGGTTTTGCATAGAATCGAGGGCTTCATGAGCAGCGAAGATTAGGATAATATATATAGAAAAAAATATAAGACAGGGAAGGCATGTATCGAAGGCGGATCCCTTCAGCTTCTAACAGTATCAAGAACATAGTCATTGTTGAGTGGAGTTCAACAATGAGCTAACAACAAGAATCCAATGAGTCGACAAATGGGCAAACTGGCGGCAACTCGGGATTAAAGGGAGGAACAGCCACCCAGATTGGTCTATTACTCTTCAGTGCTAAGCCACACAGAGCTGAAGCCGCTTTTATGCCAGCCTGAAGAAGAACTATGTCCTTTATCTGGCGTCAAAAGGCGAAGAAAACAAGGCACAGCCCCGAGATATAAGGCCTGCCCAAGGGATGACCAAGGAGATAAATGAGAACACAAGATTAGTTTTTTAAAACTCCTCAAACATAAGAATCGTCGAACTCAGCGGTAGAATATTCAATCCAGGATTGAATCCCCTATTTGGTATCAAGTTATAATGAAACTGGGGGTATATTTCGAGCACATTGGGTGGTATTATCCAGATGGCAGAGCCTACTGCCTTCCCTCCAAGAAACAATAACTTAAAGATCTAACTCCTTAGTTATTGATTTATGACTGGCAAATTCCACTTTCTTCGTTGTTTGCTTGTTCGTGTGATGTTTGTGGCTTTACCCATGGTTCAACATTCGTATAGTTATTGAGGTTCAAGCATAACTACCGCCGCACTTGAGCGCAGAAAGACGATGGAGGCAGCGGCGGGTTTGTCGTCTGGATCAGGGGTGAGAGTTGGCGCTTAGTAAACGAGTGACAGGGGTAACTAGTTAGAGTTCATCAGATGTCACGTGCCTAGCTACCCGCATCCCCCGGGCCAGTACTATATTTCTTCCTCAAGTCTGGGCCGTATTTCTGGAATCTCGAATCTAAATTCCTTGCAGACAATTTTATGTCTCAAGTAGCCTTTTTCTATAGATGAAATGTAATGTCATCACCAGTCCCTGATCTTGACGGTGCTGCCGTTCCTGAAGAGCAAATCCTTGGTTATGGCAGGTCGGGGTTGGTAATTCGTGTCGAGAACACCGCGCTCAAAATACCTTTACGCTACATTAGGAGCAGCGATGACGAGGTTGAGATAAACACTGAAGTTATACAACGGGAGCAGGAGGCCTATCGACGCTTAGGACAATGTGAAGGCGTTGTGGCCTGCCTCGAAATGTCAGAGAAATCTACCCGGCTTGCTCTAATGGAAAATGGTGATCTCCGCTCCTATATCACCAAAATTCGGCCGTCGAGGTTGCTTCAGCTCTTCTGGTTCCGTGAAATTGCTTACACTCTTTCTCGCATACATGATCGTCGCGTGATCGTCGCCGATGTCTCAAGTCGAAACCTCCTTCTCGATGCCGACCTTTCTATTAAATTCTGTGACTTTACCGAGTCATCTATACTCCCATTAATAGCAAATATAGAGGCTGCCAACGACAATGGGTATTCAATTCAGACAGACATTGGTCAACTCGGAGCTGTGATGTATGAAGTTATAACTGGAGAACGGTGTGAGTTCAATCTCTTCGGGACTGAGGTCTCGAATGGTAGGGCTGCATGGCCACGGAGAGAAACCCTTCCTAATACGCAGAATGTTTGGCTGGGCCCGATTATTGCGAGATGTTGGACAGAAGGGGGGTTTCGTAATGTACAAGGTTTGTCAGAGGCTTTAGAGTCGGCGACTTCTATGTCGAAAATTGAGATACAAAGCTTAGGCACATCGATACTGGAAGTATAAGAAGTAATCCGTTACGGCCCAGTCATCCACTGAACAGAAATGCTCTTGTATTGAGATGCAAATCATCAAGCTGCGGTTTCGTTCTAAATACACACAGGCTCGCCACAGTACAGAACAAGTTTTATTATGAACTCCCAACCCACAATTATGAGGTAAGCAATATGATATCCTTGGCTCGTGCTTTATAGTATTGTAGTAGATTGTCTAGAATAGATATTGTATTCAATTCAACAGTGAGCACATAAGAGACCAACGAGAAAACCGACTAACTAGTTAGAGAAAGTATGTTCAGACGATGCGAGTAACATAATTACCTGGTCAGCATCAAATGTCCAGATATCCCCCTTGCTTGGTAACGTCTAGGAGGAGCTTTTGCCAGAGATCACAGGTGCTCTTCAAGACTTGATTATCGGTTATGAGATTATATCCTGTGTCCACCACGTCTAAGGTATTCTCAATCTTCTCAGCATTGATGTCCCCAACTTTCGGCCAGGCAATGGTTGGTGGGCTAATATCACGATCCCGTAGAGTGTTTGGATCACCTGTGATAGCATGGCTGAGAAAGTAGGACTGGTATCCGCTGAAAAGAGGGATAGAAACATTCCACAACTTGGGTGAGTACCAAAGGGCGAACACGTCTTGGCCATGGGTCGCTGCTTTGGGAGAGTACTGCATGAGATAAGACTTCTTTGAGTATTTCCGGAGTATATCGCGTATATTGCAAGTGAAAATTGCATCACGGATGAGTCTTGAGCCAATAGCTCTCACAGATTCGTTGGACGGCGCCTTCAGGTGATAGTAGTCCTCAAGTGTGGAAACAGCTTCGGTGGCATATGTCGGAAAATTCGACTTGAGAAAGCCGGAGAGAGATTCTAGAGTGCTGTCATTGCCAGCAAAGGGGCCACCCTCATCATAAACATGGGAGATAATGAGAGAGTCGAGATGTCTCCAGTAATTTCCTGGAATGAAAGATTGTCAGCAGACATTCTTGAATAACCAGATCTGGATATCTTACCTTGAGCAATATCCACAGAGAATACATGCTTAAGCACACGCCCATCCGGCGTTGGTCCAATCTGGCCCAGATCCTTGTAGCTCGCCTCAATCAATTGCGAAATATTGGCTGCTCTCAGACATGCTAGCCCTTGTCCAGCACAGCCCGCTCGTGATGCGAAGGCTTTGAACTGATTCTCGACTGATCCTTTGCGGTCAACGGGGAAGCCAAGGCCAGGACTCATAACAACAGCACGTTTAAAGAGAGGGTCAACGATTCCCTGGTTAGCGGTAATGTGGCTGAGAATGGAGCCTCCGCCTGCAGACTCTCCCCAGGCGCTAACATTATCCCTATCTCCGCCTAGTAGGTGGACATAGTCTCTTACCCATTCAAAAACAGCACGTTGGTCATGCAAACCAGCATTTGGTAACCCTTCGTTTTCCATTGTGGTCCCGGCCAGCCAGCCGAGTGCACTCAGCTTTCCCGAAAATTAGCCGTTTAGATTCTATGATCTAGGATGAACAAGACGACCTTACTCGATAATTGAAAGTGATGACAATGGCATTTCCAGCAGCACGCTGCACAAGGCTATTGCCGTCGTAGATTCCTTCTTCAATTGCTAGATCTTTAGATCCAAGCGAATACCTTTACAGTCGTTAGTATAATCAATTTAGGTCCCAAGAAAGATAGCAACGTACCCTCCGCCATAAACCCAAACAATCACAGGTAGCTTGCGATGTCCACGGTTTCTCAATGCATTCCCAGGGACGTAGGCGTCAAGGAATAGACAGTCTACTTCAATTAGAAACTGCTCAATCGGTGTAGAAAACTTCAAGATATGTAAGACGAACCTTCACGAGCAGCCTTCTGTTGCCTTTTGTATGATGGGTCCTCGAATCCAGGAGCGTCTGGGCCAGGAATGCAGGGTGGGCCGTAAGAACCGTCCTGGATATAGGGCTCTCGAGATGTTGGTCTTACTGGTTTGGCCCAACGCAACGGACCAGTAGGCGGAACCGCATAGCGAACGTTGCGGAATGTGTAGATCTAAGATATAGTGTAAACATAGTGTGTCTCTCTGGCGATGAGGGTCGTTCATCTTACATCTGCAGCTTCGTCGTATTTAGCTGCTCGCCACCTTCCATAAGGCAAATCGAGAATCGGAAGTTTTGTGGAAGCAAAGACTCCCTGGAGAGTAGATGCAGCCACCAAGCCGTACGTCAACAGCTGGACAAACATGTTTAACCAAGCGAAGTTGCAATAATAGTTATGATGATGATGATGATGATGATGATGATGATGATGATGATGTTTGTGTGTGAAGACCTGGATATCAGGGACGTTGAGACCTCTTTATATCCCACGAGCTCGAAGCCGACGGCCACGGTTAAGCTCAAAATTTGAATTCGTCAGTCTCTCCCGTCTGTACCGGTGTCCGCCTTTTCCTCCCTTCTGCCCCGTTGTGGTATATTGATTCCAGACATACTTGGAATTCGCAGCGTGTTGCCATGCCCAATAGACGGTAGTGCTCTCTCTGGCTGGCTGCATCTGGCCTGGGTCCAACCCGGCCAGGGCATCTCAGCTTGCTTCGCCATCATCAAGCAATACGAATGCCTTGGCAAAGTTGTCTCTTCTAGACAAGCTTAAGCTGGAGCTCTAGGGGCCGTTGCTTGTCCACCTTCATCTGGGGCACAGAAATGGTCCGGAGATCCGTCCTTCTTGCGCCCTCCTCGTGTTCCCGGCGGAGCTGAAGATTAAAAGTCCGCTACCATGCCTATAGTTACCAATAAATACGGTCCCGTTATAGGGGCTGAAGACGCAGTTAGTTAAATAATAAGGATATTGAGTTAACGGGGCGAGCTGTCGATCAAAATGGTGGTGTTGAGGCTGAGTCGTCTCATCAAGAATATTTTAGTTAACTTAGTGAGCCAACGCCGCGCTGATTTGCTGCGACTCGCAGGCTGGAGGAATACGAGCAACCTTCCATCTTCCGCTAGACCAGCTATTTATTCATACCAAGCTCCCTGCTCAAGATACCATGGCATGAGGATGATGCACGGAAGGCCAGCTATGGAGCGATAGAGACGCACGGAGAATTAGAGTGTGCCACCATGACTTCGGATAGCTCGTCCAGTACGTCCTCGACGCCGCCAAACGACGCCCGCCAGTGGCAGACGGTCTTCAGGGTCAGACTGAACCCGCAGCCAGCTCACAGCCAGGCTCGCCAGCTGGTGGTAGAGAAGAGGAGAGCCTCTGGGTTTCACCCTCGTCGATCCCATCGCAAGTCGAGGGCCGGCTGTCTTGTATGCAAGAGACGCAAGGTCAAGGTATCTACCCGCCAGCGGATATGGCTACCGAGTGAACTACTTCGTACATATCAGACAAACTAACACATCTATTACTTACAGTGTGATGAGGCAAGGCCTGGTTGCCGGAATTGCTCCAACTACGGTGTTGCATGCAGCTACCCGGTAAATCTCGATGCTGGCAATCGTACGAGAACCATTGGTCCCCTGGGTGACCCTAGCATGGTCATGTTCTCCATGTCTCTTGACAATTTGACCACCAAGATCGGCGAGACATTGAGCGTGTACCTGGGCTCGGGCATCCGTATGCCCGGCATGTCAGGTTCTGATCGGCCCCTGGAAGTCCAGGCGCTTCGACACTTTGTCGGCTGCACTGTGGAAACCATATCGACCGTGTCAATCCGTGAGCTTATGCGAACGAAGGTAGTCCAGGTAGCGTTCGCCGTAAGTTATACTCCTTCATATATCTTATAGGATACACAATCATCCTTCGAACACTCCGTTTGTACATTATTGACACACTCTGCGTTAGAACCCGTATGTTATACATACTATCATTGGTGTAGCGTTGCTCCATTTGAATCGCATGCTCCCGTATTGCAAGATCAGGCAGGCAGCAGAAGCCGATCACTGGTTAAAAGCGATCAAAAGCTATCGAGAAGCGCTTTCCCACGAAGTTAGTGCTGCAAACATAGATGCTCTTTTGACTTCATGCATGCTCATGGCAGTTAACTGCATGTGCCCTGAAAACTTCACCCCAAAGGATTCGTGGGTCCTGACTTCTGATCCATCAGCCATGAATTGGATATACCTCCAAAACGGCCTACCTTATCTTCTGGAGATCGGTGGCCCCTTTATTCCTCAAAGTATCTGGGGTCCTGCTTTTGTAGCTGCAGAGGAAGCTCACGACGAGTTACTGAACCATTGTCCTCAGGGAAGGGAAGGCATGAACCCAAAATTGGCGGATTTCTGTGGAATAACATATTCGACCACAGCCGAGACTAGCCCTTACTTTAAGCCACTACAAGTTGTAAGCACGATGCTGGAGATGGAAAAAAGTCCTTCAACGGCTGGTTATTTTTCGTCCTTCCTTGGCCATTTGGACCCTCGATTCCTCGAACTGCTGAGGGTCAGAGACACAAGAGCGCTCATCGTCATGGCCCACTGGATGGGTATCATGTGCCTGATATCACACTGGGAGCCCTGGGTAGAGGGAAGGATCAGGTCCGAATGCATTGCTATATGCATCTATCTTACTCCTAGTGCAGACACCCGACTTCTAGAACTGCTTAGGTTTCCATCTATTGCCTCAGGGTTTATAGATACTGAATAATCCTGTGCCATTGTTACATGGTAGCATAATAACCATTGAATTTCTGCAACAGCAACACGAATATCTCTCCAAATATACCCATTTGATAAAGCCGAAAAGTTAATTTGCAATTATAGCCAAATCCCGCGTGACTATATTGAGGGAAACAAAAAAAAAGAAGTGCAGGTCCGCTGCCTCTGCATCTAGCAGATGGCGTGAGTCTTTCCAGTCTTTCCCTGAAGAGAGTGGTCTTCTGCCTCGTAAGCCGTTGTGGAACGCTCGAGCTTTCCGATGCTTGTGGCTCTCTTGCGGGTGTACCTAACGGAGGATGGTCATTAGTCTTGTATAGCGGCAAAATTCCAGCAAAAGAGTGTTACTTACTCGCGGTACTTCTCCAGTGCCTTCTTGTCCATCTCTTCTAACTGGGCGAGAGCGAGCTTGAAGTCATTGACCAAGCTGTCACAGCGACTACGACTGAAGTCCTCGCGAACAACGATACGCATGAGCTTCAGCTTCTCGCTATGAGGGGCCATGGTATAGGCCGGTACAACCCAGCCACGTTCACGCAGTTGATGGGCGATGGCGAACTCATCATACTTCTCGGCTGTCTCTGGGGGGAGACGGAAGGCCACGAGTGGCAGACCACGCCCCTTACCATCGCTCATTATGATGAATCCAAGCTCCTTGAGGGAGGCCGCGAGATAGTCTGCAGTGCGAGTAAGGTTAAGCATTATAGCACGGTATCCTCTCTTTCCGAGGCGGATCATTTGGTAGTACTGGCCAATGACCTGGGAGGCACCTTTGGAGAAGTTGAGGGTGAAGCTCGCCTGGTTGGCTCCGAGATAGTTAATGTTAAATACCAGCTCTTGCGGGAGGTACTCTGTGGATCTCCAGACTATCCATCCAACACCAGGGTAGACCTACACGACCAGCCGAGGTTAACCTTTCACATTACCAGAACATCTGGCAGCAATCAAGAATAATACTGACCAGGCCATATTTGTGTCCAGATACATTAATAGACACAACCTTCTCAAGGCGGAAATCCCATTCAAGACTAGGGTTGACAAAGGGGGCGACAAAGCCACCACTAGCAGCATCAACGTGGATAGGGCAGTCTATTTTCTTCTCGACAAGAAGATCATTGACTGCTTTGATATCCTCGTACTGACCGGTATAGGTGGTTCCCAGAATAACGCAGATACCAATTGTATTTTTATCAATCAGATTAACAGCTTCTTCAGGGTCGAGGACATATCTCTCGTTAGTGCAGTACACGAACTTCTCCTCGATGTCGAAGTATCTGGCGGCCTTCTCCCAGCAGACTTGGACGGCACTGCTCATAATGATATTGGGGCGAGAGCAATCTTTCCCCTCTGCCTTCCGGCGATTCTGCCAGCGTTTCTTCATGGCAAGGGTTCCTAGCATAATAGCCTCGGAAGATCCGATGCAAGAGGTTCCCATAGCGTGATCATGCTCGTGTTCACCTTCTCCAACGGGGGCATGAAATAGACGTGCAATCATATTGACGCAGCGGTTCTGAATATCGGCTGACTGGGGGTATTCCTCATAGTCAATGAAGTTCTTGCTGAATGACTCGGTCATGAGTTTTTCAGCTTCATCTTCCTGCAAAATCCCAATGAGTGTCAATCTACAGTAGCAACGACCTAGCTATGCTAATTCCATTCTTACCATGTATGTGGTAACGAAACTCGCTAGACTATAAACATGATCTAAGTCAGCCAGGATAACACGGTAGATGAATAGAATAACGACAGCCAGGACGTACTTCAACATGGGGTTGCCATCCAGACTGAGCTCATCCTTGATCATACGATAAGCGACCTCTTTGGGCATCTCCTTCTCCGGCATTTCATCAGTAGGCAGATCCTCAGCCGCAAATCGAGAACCATAGACGCTGGAGTAGAAATCATGGTCCTGCGGCTCCTCAAGATCTAAGGTGTCGACACGATTGAGGAGCTTAGGAGGAAAAGCAACCGAGTCCTTGCGGACTCTGGATATGTGAACCATGGTGGCAGCTGGAGGGACGAAAGCTTAGAGCCTAGGATTTCTACCTATCTTCTCCTTAACAGCAGGAATACCTACACAATCAACAGAGAACAGCGATGTACAGAACACAAAGGAGAAGAGCAAGAACTCTCAGGCGCAGGACGATCTCAGCCTATATATACGTTGACGCCCACCAGGTTGCCTGACCGGTCACCCACATTATTGCTGCTCTCCACCAACCTGTCTTGCGCAACCCCACAGGCTGTCTGTCCCTCACTCCTGGGGCCTTCCCCCTAACCGTCCGAAGCGACATAACGCATGTCAAGGAGGGGTAACGGCAGAGCTAGACAATTGTGGCGGTGTCAAGAACAGTTGCAGGGATTCACACATGTTTTTATACGTGGATGGTGGATCTGGCTTCCGGACTGGGCAGCGTGTGTATGCACGACCACAGCACAATATGTACGCCGAACATGGGCATTGATATTGTTGCATATACGTGGAAGCGGGAGAAACGCCCTCTCCCTCCACTCCTCTTGGAACGGTTCACTGTCAAACAAGACAGGCTCAAGAGATCATTTCTTCCTCGTCAACGCTGGCGGAGCTGATGGGTCCCATAGTTATTTGATTGGCAAAAGCTTGTGCTGTGGCTTGCAAAGCTTGGTTTAGACAGGGGCCACTGGGCTCGCTTGCGGAAACTAGGAAAAGGGGCGATGGAACGAGAGAATCGATTCTCGGCCACGCATCTTCTCACAGTAACAGCCATCTCTCCATTATTGGCTATGTTTCTTGAGATCATTTTCGGAATCGTGTCATCCAAAAGCACCAACAGATCACAATTTATAGCTCATTGAGTAGTTAAGGACTTGGGTAGGTAATGATTTTATCACCGCATAAGAATTGGGATATAACTGCCCAATAAGTTCTCTTATAAAATAATCACCGACGAGATATAAATACCGATAGATGCCCAGCATGATGATAATAATAATAAGGAGGTTGCAATTTCTGATGAGTGTCCAGTGGTTAATTACGTTATCATACCACGTGACTGCTTATATAAGTCAACTAGGCCAAAACTGCGTCCTCGAACGACGAACGACGACGTCAACATCAACAACTACAACAACATCACCATCATCCATGACCAGCGGTTATATCAGACGGCACACCGAGTCAGTAGTACTTGGGCAGTGTGAACTTGCGCTCCTGGATGCCGTTGTATGCGACGCGGTTGGGGCTGTCCTTTGCGTCCTTGACTAGGTTGGGGATGGTCAGATTGAGGACTCGCGCGGTCACGGCCGACGGGGAGGGCAGGTTCTCGATGCTCATGAGGTAGGCGACCAGGCCGGCGACGTGAGGGCTCGCGGCCGATGTGCCCGACTGCGTGGACGTGGCATTGTTGCCACCCTTCCAGCATGACTTGATGAGTTCTCCCGGGGCCCAGATATCCACGAGCTTGCCGTAGTTCGAGAAGCTAGGCCGGGTATTCTCCCAACGGACGGCGCCAACGGTGATGGCGTTGGGTGACGAGGCCGGAGTGTTATTCTTTGCGTCTTTCTGTTTAGGCCAATCTTGTTAGCATGGATAT